ACGCCAAAGTGCATTTTTTTGTCAGGTCTAATGTTCAGTTAATTTCTATGTGAAAGGGTCTGTCATTTTCATGAAATACAAGTCAGTCAGGGAAAGTTAAAAATGATTTATGGCCAAAAAAATCATAGTAGAATGTAGTATTGAATACCTGTTATCTAATACTGTACGTTTGTTGTTGGGTACTCCTATAGCTAATATATAACATCTAGTCCAGATTTACAAAATTTTAATTAATGAATTCACACTGCATCTTTGTGAAGACCATTTAAACTTCATTAGCCTATTTATATTGTTTTCTTTTTTTTTTCAATTTAATGTACTCTATATTTTTTTTTGTATATATTTTTTTTGCATATGTTTTCCGGACTATATCGGAAATGTGTGCAAATGCATATATTAAAATAAAAATTAAAAAAAAGACAAAAACTAAATTTTGTAAAGTGAATGTTAAAACAGGTGAAACAACAATGCACAGTAATAAAAACAAAAAACCAAGTATTTCTGGAGATTGTATTGTCTGCAGGCACATTCGTACTCTACATATAGTGATCTATATTTTGACTGTATTTTAAATAAATTGTAATCTATATATATTTGTATTCTATATACATATATATATATCATTATATTAATTTTTAAGATATATTATTTTATTGCGGCCCTATGCCATACTAGGGGAAACGGACACTAAAGATTATTTTATTTGTATATGCATATGTATTTTCATATGAAAAGGTTTAATGTAACTATCAAATACCAAAAGAAATCGTGTACATATATAATTAATACACAAATAAAGGATTGCTTAAAAGGATAATGAATGTGCCGTAGTACATTAAGTGTATCGACTTATATACAAAGGTAAGCATGCGCGACAAGGCATTGAAACATCAACAGTTTGTACTTAAACACCTCCCTTGTTTTGCTGAAGATAATCTCAACCATTACTGACAAATAAGCGGACCCTCATAAAATGAGCATTAAAAGCTCACATTTGAACATCTCCCACTTGCTGAAGATAACCAGAACCATTACTGAGGAATATGTGGACACTTGTACAAAAACAAATTACAAACTTATGGCTATGTTTTCAGTAGACTGAGATATCACGTTCACCTATATAAAGGGTGAACGTGTTTCGGGTAAGAAAATAAATCTTATTTACAAATACGTTTATATGATACGTAACGTCAATTATGTCAAAGTGCTCTTTATTATCCAGTATTTTGAGACATTTGGTATGGTATTCGCGTTGTGGTTGTCCAAATATTTGTAGATAAAGAGAAGTAAGGTTGGTAATTTTTCTAATTTTTAATATATTAAATCTAGTCTTCCTAATTTACAATCAAATTATCCTAGCAGTCCAGGCTATGTATGGCTATCTCCTAAAAATCAAATCGAAATTGTTGTTTAATGGTAATAACTTTGAGTCAATTAAGGTTATGAACAGCAGAAATTAAATAATCCATGTAGGTATATATAATGCAAATATAATAGCGCAATAAGTCTCCATATATTGCATATTATGCATATGTATATATATATGATTTCAGCTTAGGTGTAAAGTTTGTAGGAAAAATATATATGGCATGTTAGGCATAATATATATTTAACTCATATTTCTTCACGATACTTTTTGAATAGAAACTATGTAATTAATGACTATAAGCATTGAGTAAAAATTATTTATTTGAATTTGAATATTTTTACTCAATGCTATAAGTCTCATACCTTTTGCTACTGATAAAGACAAATATAAAAGACCGACCTTAGAGTACCAATAGTTAAAAATTTTCAAAGCTTAATTTCTAGTTAATGCGATTAATACATTTCATTTACAATTAGTTCACAAGTTATTTCAGTTCGCAATGCTTAAAATTAATTTGAAAACATTTGCATTTACATTTATCTATGTAATAACGGTTTTTTACTTTATGCTTTATTCTCCAATAAATTTTAAAATTGAATACGTCGAACATTCAGAATATGAGGTTTATCCCAAATATCTTAATTTGGATTTAAGAAAAGGTAAAAGCTAAAATTTTATAGTTTCTAACTGCAATAGTTCTGCATACATAAATGAAATATATATTTTAGTACCTGATGAGCCCACCTTAATTGAGTCCGCTGGTGAGGAACTACCCACAGTTCCTTTCAGTTTTTGGTATCAAAACAGTGTAACTTTAATGAAACCGGATAATTCAACTTGTGCCAAGTATGCTACCCCGTTTGAAATCACATACTACAACACATATTGGCAGACTTATAAAACAGCAAATTTGACATTTCAAATATTTGGTGCCTACTATGACATACGACCAGAACTAGTTGATGGGCCTGTAGTACGCATTTTGGTCATGGTTAATCAAATAGATTTGAATTTCCCGTCAAGCTACTGTCAGTTGTGGTTCGAGGGACAAAATGATGCAGTTATTGTGAATGTTACCGACTATAGGCCTATTTGGAATCCAGAATGGTATAAGGCCAAACATATTTATTTTCCTCATTTACTTACTTGTATACTGCCAGTGTTAAATGGCAATGCAGTACCTAAAGCTGTATCTCTAGTCGATACGAAATGTTCTAAAGCTTCCAATACAATCACAATTTACTATGATCCTTTGCCGAAAGATAAAGTTAGAAATGGTTTTGCGGTTTGTGTAAAAAATTTGTTTTTTCCAATTGTTGACCATTCAGCCAGAGTAGTGGAATGGCTGGAATTGTTACGTCTGTTAGGTGTAACTAAAGTTTATATGTATGACTTATATTCACATCCAAATCTTACAAAAGTATTAAACTATTATGAGGAAGACGGTTTTGTAGAAGTAACACCGATAACACACGCAAATGGTGAACCGCAATTTCCACATTATTATCATCTTGCCTGGAGTATAACAAAATTAAGCAATATACTTCACGAATTAATCGCATATAACGATTGCTTTTATAAACATATGTACCGGTATGATTATATAGCACTGATAGACACCGATGAAGTACTAATGCCACTCGACCCCCTAAGTAATTGGCATGATATTGTGGAAGTAGTGCGTAGCGCAGAAGAGAAGAATAGACATAATTTTACAAATATTTGTTTTCGTAATGTATATTTTCCGGAATATTCTAATTTGGGACGCTATACTCGAACGATACCAGAATATTTTTATATGTTGCAACATGTCAAGAGAGTAGAAAAACATTTGGATCCACGTTTAGCAATTAAATGTTTGCATGACACTCAAAAGGTTGTCACTCTACATAATCACATGTCCCGCAGTTGTTTTCATAATTGCTCTAGAGTCAATATTGATATTAAAAACGGTCAACTGCATCATTATCGTGAACCAGATATAAAGAAAACTTTAGACACACCGGTGGTTGATACCAGCATTTGGCGGTTTAAGAAGCAGCTTATCAAACGGTCTATGCGAGTTTTTCAAAAACTTAAGTTCTTTTAAATAAAAGTTTAATTAAATTTAAATTAAGTAATATTAAAGTAATGGATTTAAAGCAAAATATTATATATAAATATATAAAATAAATTAAAAAATGTAAATTATATAAAATACTAGCATAAAGATACATCAGCCAGTAGTATATATATATATAATAATCTAATATATAATAGTCTAATATTCTTTTGAAACTTTTACATTAACTTAAGCACTTTAATTATTCCACAGTCTTACTTTAAAATACTTATTGTATTAACGATGAAATGCAGTAAAGAAATAAATAAATTAATAAAAAAAAATTGTTACAAAATATATAAATACGATAATCTCTTCTGCGTTAAATATTATATAAAATTGTTAACAATGAAAAAATTGAATATGTTGAGCCCTCATTTCATTTACTTCTGGATGAAGTATTTTTCGAGAGGCAGGAAAAATAATTTCTCAAATATCTTATGGCGCTCATTATTCATATGCAAATTTATTATTCACATACGCAATTACACCTGACAGATGTTATTTCATTATCTGTGCTTAACTGAGGTGGAAGCGGATTTCAGAGTACATTTAAGATACAATACATTTTATCTCTTTTAAGTATATTTTTTTGTCAATCTTAAAAGCATGTATCTTTGGAACACAACTGAAGCTATTGTATAGCAAAAGTAATTGAATATGTGGGACTCTGTATCAAATTTAAATTATTTCAAATTTATTTACCTTTGTGTTTAATGTTTGTTTGACATCTTCAAATTAATGCGAAAATCCTAACGTCTTGTTATAATCATAAAAATAAAAATTTTCTGAAATTTTTATGAGAAGGAGGAATCTCTGTATATGTATAAAGTGAAAAATCATGGATTTCAGCATAGAAGCAGCACGTTTGGCTTCAAACATGTATTTTTATTAAATGATTTATGTTTGCCAACTAGCAACTAACAACTGGCAACTGACAACCAGCAACTGGCAACCAGCAACTGACAACAAAGACAATTGACAACAATTGGCATTTTGAATTGCAAATTTTGTCCAATTTTTGAATTTCACATTTGGTTTCGTATTGTTTCGTGGCCATAAAATTTGTATCTTTAAAATATTGACAATAATTTTGAAAAGGTTAAAATGCTGACAATATTTTGCTTTATTTACTGCGAAATAAATTATTTGTTATTAATACTCACATTAGAGTTACAAACATTTTACAAATTATTTATTTAATAATGTATTTGCAGTTTTTATTTATTAAATTGATATAATTTAAATATCATTTAATTAATGCTAATAAAATTTTCTAAATATAAATTATAATCTTTATCTTAATTGTAATTAATTTAATTAATTATCCAAAAAAAATGTGTGTCACGAAAAAATAAAAATTTAATTTATAATACAAGGCAAAACGGATTCAATGTTAATAAAACATTTCTTTTACTTGGAATATTATAATGATATAATAATAACAATAATAATTTATTTAGTATTTAATGAATTTTTAAAAATTTGTATTTGCCGAAAATTCTAAAAAATATGTCTATATGAATTCTACATTGCTTATTCTTTATTATTCAACTTGGAATATTTTTTTGATAAAAAAATTATTATCTGAAATCATGGGCGTACCGAGGGCTGAAATTAGGGGGGCCCTGATATACTGATATGATATTATTATATATTTTAAAGTGTGCTAAGGCGCACTTCTTCTTAGCACTTTTTTCTTTTTCTTTTTGGCCTAGTTCATTGAAAACTTGATAATTAGATTTTGTTCACAAAAAAAGAGCACCTCCCCCCAGCCCCTACCTGTTTACGCCCATGTCTGGACTTGTATTTGGCGTTTAATTATACATAATAAATATTCAAACGGATAAATAATAGACCACAGTTTAATTAGAACCAATGTACAAATTTATATTATAGAAATTTAATTTAATTAAGTTAATTTTATAGTCTGACTGTTGTTATTTTATTTAAAAATAATTATTGAACATAACACACCAAGAGTAATAAAAACCCTCAAGCTAAATACCCGTCTTTAACAATTATTTTCTAATGAGAAAGAGAATGTTGCAAAAATTTTTATAATAGTATATTGCCATTCATTCATTAAAACATTAATTATGCCGAAAAAATATTTTAGATATTTCTGGTTTCCATTAAATTCAAGAATACAATATCGAATACAAGTCAACTGATTGCTTAATTCAGCCTTAAGGTTGAATTATTAGTCCTGCAAGAAAACAACTGACCGGTTTTAACCTAAGGAATATAACAATATATTTGTTTATTTGTGTAAAAGTTAATTTAGAGGTTAGCATAATATCACTTGAATTTTGGTTTTCGACGTAAATGTAGAAGAAATCTTATATTAGATATAAACATTGACTGATTGGATTGCAATTCTTTGTGTGTGAAATATTTAGTGATTGGATTTAACAAGTGTTGTTTGTATTTTTCTACGGTCGCTGCCTGTATGTCACCATTTAAGCTTATTCAAAAGCTAAATTTATTGCCGTGGGCGTACTGAACATAGCGGAACCGACCTGATCAAGAAAAATAAAATTCAAAATTACATTTGTGCTATGTGAATCGGTTATCAAAGAAAATTGGCTTTACAATTAGTTTAAATTTCGATTAATTTGATAGTATTTCAAGTCTTTCAAGCCCTTCAAGTCGTTCAGTGTTTGAAAACTATGAAGTCATGATTTATAGTATAAATGGAAGTGCAAAAATAAAGTATAATAATTGGATGAATTGAAATATAACTTATTCAAAATATTCATAAAAGAATTATTATTTCAAAAATAATTATCTTTTTAAATCATAACGTTTTTAGGTTTATTATATAATTAAAATTTAATTAATCATTAATTAAATGTCAAATATATACTCAATTCCCAGAAAGTATCGTCATTTTTAAAAACAAAACAGTCAATTCTCTTCCTATGTATTCTTAAGGAATTCTTCTTCATTTTTCTAATCATATCTTTCTCTGTACTGTTTCACACGTTATACATGTCACGCATAGAGTTATACCACCTAATTTAAACACAATTCCGCGGACCGATAAACATTTCCAAAAACAATGGACATGTTTATGGAAACTAGAACGCGGCTAATGCTTGTGCGCCATAAAAAAAAAACAAAAACAATCAATAAAATATGCAAAATTAATACAGAAACGCCTGTAGCCAAATTGATAGCTTCTTGCTTCTATATCAATAGCAGCTACCATCAAAGGCATTGACCACAAACTATGTTAGCATACCAACCAAAATGTGCTCCATATACCATACTGCGTACCGAGTACCAAGCGGCATATTAATTGTTTCTCCTATTTGTGTTTATCTTTATGGTTGCACGGGTGCCAGTTTCTCCATTCAACTGCAAATGACAGTGCAATACTTTCAAAAAGGGTTTGCTCCATCGCTTGCAGTTTTGCATCACAAAAAATGCAAATAAATTAATTTTAATTTTTATGATAACTGAAATATATTATATTTTCACTAAAACTAACTTAATTTTATAGTTAAATGTTTTTAAAGAAAACTTTAGGACTCGGTTGTTGGACTGTATCAACTTCTCTGTATGACAACTTCTACACATTTGTGTATATAGATAAAAATATAAAATAATTTGCAATAAAAATAACAAAATTTCTACCTTTTGTAACAACAATTTATGTTAAGGTTTTACTTTTTACTGTTTAAAACTAGCATTATAGTATGTTTCGACTGCTGACTTAATAAGTGAAACTTACTAAGTAAATTTCATTATCCGCGCTTTTTAACTTTCTTAAAAATAAAGCAAGAAAAGTTGGAGCACATGTCTTATTAGGAAGGTTTTGCTCATTATAAGCACTAATGAGGATGATTTACCATACAAAAATCTTTCATATAAATGAGCTCATTATCAATAAATCAGCTTAATTAAGGCGGAAATTGTCGAAAGCAACCCTTAAAAATAAATTTCCCACAAGTGAAATTATCAAAAGTTGAAATATTTGTCATATGTTTTATATGTAAAATGTAAATAGACAACAGCTGAGCTGTAAACAAAGGCACTGAGAAAAAAAAGTATTTAATAAAATCCTTGTTTTTATTAATTGAATACGTTATGGATATACAAAATATGTATAGACAAATGATTTAATATATCAATAATATATTTAATTTTTTATGTGAAATATTATTGAGTGAAATTTTTTCTAAACACGCAGAAATTCTCTTAAAACTTTTGATACACAAAGCTGTTTCCTATGCAATAAGTAACTTATATCAATGGAAATGACAAAATCTTAAAGTAACTTAAGTAACTTGCTAAGTAAGCAGTACATATAGATTTTATTTGTGGATCATCTAACTTAACAAGCAGTAACTCTTAACTCGTTACTAAGAGGTGGTGAACTCAATTCAGTTGTTAAAAAATACCAGTATTCATTGTGTTTATTAAGAAACAATGGAGAAAATAACTTGAAAAACAATAAAATAGGATGAAAACAGTTAAGCTAACGAAGCAAAAGCATCGTTGGAAGAAGTTTACTTAAGTATGTCTAACTTCAGATATTGAGAGATTCCTGCAATACTAACCATAGGTGTTAGAGTGTAGTATTTGCAGTTGAAGATTCATAGTGTCGAGTTTAAGGAACGAGACTAGAAGAAGCAAAGTAACAAACCCAAGCATGGTAGTGGATCAATGAGATAACAGCTGAAGCTCAGGCAGCGTCAGAAATTCATGGCAGCGGCAATCTATTTAGAGCCGTTAAGAAATTGGCAAATAACAGTACTATATCAAGTTAACCTCTCAAGAAGGCCAGAATTGTAGGCAGAATTCTACGAAAATATTTTATCAGCTGACTCATAACACAAAGAAAATCTTTTGACTTGTGATTGTCAAATCACGTTATAAACACGAATATATTAACTGCTTGTGCGATAAAATTGTTGACACATTGAAAGCGTTGAAAGGAAATAAAGCACCTGGGCGCTAAAGAAAACTCGCTGACCTGCTGCAAGTTGGTCCCAGTGTCAGTGCTCAAGCTCTTCTGC